AACGGCAGGTCCTGCCTGGCCGCGCCCAGTGCAGCGAGGAGCAAGTGACAGAGGGCCGATGGGCGACACATTCCCATCAGCCGTAACGCTCCCCATAAACTCATTGCATTGCAAAGAGCATGTGAGATTTGGGAAAAAAAAAAAAAAAAGATGTTCTGTGGTCTGTTTGTATCCAAAGTGAACTGCCTGGAGGATGCCCCCAGCTTTACGAATAAGAAATAGGGGTTTTGATCAAGTTGACCAGTTTTCCCAGTTGACTTGGACAGTCTTCCCTTACAGGAGGTCACAGAGTGACCAGTGTGCGGGTACAGTTTTACTACACACACAGAAGTCTACTAACATACACACACACCCACACACCCCCCGGCTATATAACGGGATTTTAAAGTCCACGGTCAATGTCTTCCAAAGGGACACTGTAGCAAAGTCTTCTGCATACAAATGCAATGCAGTGTTGTGAAGGTTTATTTTTAATTGCCGGGTGGCAACCTGCTAACTCGTCCTGTCTTTTTTTATTCCTTATGCTCTGAGTAGGAAGGATTTATCAGCGTTTTCAGATCTCTGGGCATTTTTGCTCTTACATTAGCACGTGCTCAGCCAGAGGCCAGAGTCCTGCTCAGACTCCTGAGCTAACTCCATATGCATCACTCCGTGAAATGGGCATCAGTTCCTGTGTGTACCGGCTATGGCTGGCATGGAGTTAGTAATGCCATGAGGTACAAGGTCATGCTTAGCAAGAAAACTGGAGCGAGGGAAGTTTTTTGAAAGTAACTTTTACTCAGAAACTGGGTGGGCATCTGTCTGCAGGTGATGAGTGACTGCTTTTGCATCACTTGTGGTTTTGGGTTTTTTCCCCCTTCACTTCTTAAACTGTCCTTATCTCGACCCACAAGTTTTTTTCCCGCTTTTGCCCTTCGATTCTCTCCCCATGCTGCTGGGAGGGGAGTGGGTGAGCAGCTGGGTGGGGGCTTACCTGCCAGCCGGGTCAACCCACCACACCATGACAGCCAAGCACCACTGAAATTGATGCAAAATAGTCTGGAGAAAATCTGAGCACAATTGCTACTAAGGGGTTGAATGTTAAAAAATTCTTAAAAGTAAATAATTTATTTATGAGCATTTATTTGAAATGCAAGTGTTACAGAGTAAAGGTCTTGAATACAAAATCTTTCCTTGCTCATATGACAAGATAAACCATTTTTTTTCCATTTATTTTTCTGTTCTTGAGCCCTAAATGTCGCTGATGTCTTCTCTCAGGCTGCCCGTAGAGTACACTGTGAAAAAGATCAGGCTCACTGGTTTTGGATGTTTTGCAGATCAGAAGATAAAATATCCTTCTGAGCCTTTGCAAGACAAAAGTAACCACTTGTGCTTCATCAGATGGTTCTTCATATACGGGTTGTTTCATATCTCCATAGGCAGACATAATAACAGCTTGGAAGAGATTGATCAAGACACAGATCATCACCAACATGAAAGAGGCTAGGAAAAGACCACCCAGCAACCTGTTGGATGAAAATGCGGTATCTCTGAAAGCTGAGACACAGTAAGAGAATATGGTCTGAGCTGAGTGAATCATGTTACTGTAATTCCATTCATGCTGCCCAAAAACAAGGTAGCCAAAAGCCATAAATACAAAGAAGTACACCACCACCACGAGGGCCATTGAGGAGATTCCGGGAAGGGCTGCCAAGATCGATCTTTGTGCCAGGCGCACGTCATAAAAAAATTGAGAATATTTTAGAGTTTTCAAAACTACAAGAAATGCTAAAAAGCCCATAGTAATCCTTAAAATCTGATCTAAATGAGAAACTGCATGAAAATGAATGAAATCATTTGGGTGAAGTAAGTAAAACTTCACTATATCTGCTCCCACCTTAAACTTTATGACCTTTAAAAAAACAAAAAGGAGGAATGCTGATTTTAAGCCAAAGTTGATTATATTGGAAATGTTTTTAATATAATCTTTTTTTTCTTGGCTTATGATGTGAAGCTCATCTGCTATGTAAATGAACAGAAAGGCAAGAACAATTAGAAACACAAACATCTGAGCTTTAGTTTGCTGATGAAAAATGGGGAGTGCAAAAGAGTGTACTGACAAACTTGGTTTTACAATCCCAAAATGAGACATTTCAAATATGACTGAGATGGTGCAAAAGAGATCTGCATCTGAGTTAAATGTAGTTAGTTCAATGATCACAGCCCATGTCTTTTCATCAAGCCAGTTGCTCTGTTGTAGAGCATCCAGCCTTTTCGTTGAATTAGGTCTTCCTTCATCAGGGAAAAAGTAAAACGTGTATCCTGCTGGTCCATACGTGTGCAAATCTCCGTATGAATAATACATCCACGGAGTCCTGTTTCGCTGGTATGTGAACCCACCGTAACTGCTGGCATCCTTGGAAACAGACTGGTTGGCAGCTTTTGTCCAAGTGCCAGCGTAGTCACCTTTCTCTGGGATGTCACTGCCATATTTGTGAAGACAGTGGCTTTCACTGATCAGAAAGTTATTTACAAAGCTGTGAGGATGGAAACATTTTTTCTCAATACCTTTAGCCCGCACTTGCCTCATCCTAGGCAAACCAATGATTTTGGACCAGCTCTCGGGAAGAAAGGTTGGGTGAATGTCATTGTGGATCAAAGGCAAGAACAAGTCTTTCACCCACACGTAGATATGTTCTAGCTTATCTACACTGGAGAGTCGTGGAGAGAATTGGTTATGGATGAATCGGTTGTAGTGGAAACTGTTGGTGTTCTCAGTGGAATAGGCAAAATTTAATAGCAGTGTTAAAAAGACAAGGTGACTGATGAAACCTTTTGTGAAAATAAATGCCTTGACTTTAATTTTTGCCCTTTTCAGCATGTTTGCAATTTCATCAGCTTCTAAAGGCTTATACTGCTTGGTGCCTCTGACTTCAGCAAGTTTCAAGTGCATCTCTCTCATCTCATCAGCACTCATCGTTTCTTTAGCCAACTTAATCTCAGAATACTTTTCCTGAGTTAACCATGTGATGTTTTCACAGTATTTTGGACGAATTGTACTCATAGCTGAGAAAAAACTGATTTTTAGAATTGAGAGGAGAAACACATTCTCAATAAAGGAGATTGCAGATGCTAAAAGCCACTCTAGTGAAGTCTGATAGCCATAAGACAAACCATATAACACAATGAAAAATGATGATAGCCCAGTGACAGCTATAACTAGTGCCCACGAGAGATAGACACACCACCAACAAAAAACTATGTGCGGTCTCTTGCGAAAGGGCATGGAGGTAATGCTTAGTGGTTTCCTTTCCTTCTGAAAGTTGTCCCCTTCTTCTGCGTAATTATTACTAAAATTGGAATTTGATGGTGGCCTTCTCTGGCAGGCCTTAGCCATTGGAGGGGAATTCACGGTTATCGTCTGCTCCTCTGTTCCAATTACATTTGCATCTCTTTCAGAAACTGTGTAATTACTCCAGTTTTGGGGAGCTCCCTTGCTTCTTGTCTTTCTGGAAAATGGTGGGCTCTGTGAGTTGCTGGGACCAGGAAGGTTCTCCAAGGGAATAATATTCCTTGATTGTGCTGAAGTTTCTGAAAGGTGCAATTGTTGCAAACATTCCTTCCAGTTCTTAAGATTTCCAGACAGGAGGGGTGAACTGACCTTTGGGTCCGTCTGAGCCACACCACGAGGAGAAGGTTCCTTCTGGGAATACTTAAATAAGGCAATTATAATCATTTCCACAGGTATGGTAACCAAAGCACATTCAATTCCTACTGTTATTGATCTCAAATACCTCAAGTGTATTGGAGATTCTTCATTCTTGTCAGCATTAAAGAACATAATATTAACAAGCAAGTTTAATAATAATATTGCTAAACATGAAGACAACCTTTGGAGCCTGCTGAAAGTGCCAGTGAGAACGTGAGCAAAAATCGAAAGCCACAGATGGCCCTCTGTCAGGCTGTTGGCAAGATTAATCAAAAAATAGTCGATTCTGGGCAGAGGTGTCTTGGGGTTTGTGGCAGAAAATGTCCTTTCTAGTAAGTGATCGCCCTTGTCAAGAGAAAGCCATTTCCTGCACATAAAGAACCAGGTCTTCCTGGTGGACATATTCTCAACTTTAGCTCTGCTTAAGAACCAGCTTGGAGATGGGCCCTTGTTATTGTGCCAGACCCTGAAGGAACAAATGTCTCCCAAGTCTTTCTTAGTGGTTAACAGAAAGCAATCAGTGCTTCCTTGTTGGAAAGACAGAAAATGTGGGTGCCGTAAACAATGGACGTCACTCGTGCCATTCTGGCCGATGAGCTGAAGAAAGACATCTGCTTTGGTTCCAGCTCCCCAGCGACTGCCTGTATATAAAGTGACCAAAAAGCTCACTTTATCAAAGGGGTCGTTGTCTGGCAGAGCTATAATCTTGTCTTTGCTGTCCCTGTCAGCCCTGTCTTTTCTCATGGCCCAGAGGGACAAAAGAAAGTAGGCAGCAAAAATAAAGAGCACTGTTAAAAGGGTCACTGGGTTTTTAGGTATGTCTGCTATCAGGGTTTTTCCCAGATCTACTGTGTTG